GGGGAATTCAGAGTATCAGCCATAGTCTCTTCTCTCCTCTCGTGCCAGCTACAAAGGTCTGTGAAATGGACACAGAGCTCTGCAGCCAGCACCAGCAGGGAGAAGAAACTGTCCACACATAACACTTACCGCCCTCCACACTGTCACACTTCCGTCCGGAGAGGTCAGAGCAGACAGGGAGCCTGCTGGTGGAGAGGTATTCCGGGGGATGGGCTATGCGGGTCAATGGCCGAAGCTCTTTGAATAAAATTTAAAGGGCTGGTATCGGCTCTATGCGTCGGTGCATTTTCAGGAGTAAAAGTACTCCTGAAAATGCCCTGTATCGGCCCCGATAACGGTACTAGTACCGGTATCGGGACATCCCTAATCTGTACCATCAATAGGAAAAAAACTGTGGGGTGCTGGAATTCATTTACAGTAACTACCATCTTGACCTCAGGGAGAAGTCTTAAGGTGCCCATTCGCATAGTGTGTGCTGCTGTCTGCACCCTTTCGGCCTGCATCCCTTGATCAGCTGATCAAAGGAGCCAGTCGAAAAATCTTGGTACGGTCAGAGCTGGCAGCCAATGAGCTGCTGGCTCATTCCGGGTATTCTGACAGGGGCCACTGGCCCCTGTCAGAATACAATGCAAACAGAAGGATTCCTCAATCGACACACATGTAGTGTTGATGGAATAATCTGCTCTATTGTTTTCATTCATCCTGCGGCCTGTGAGATTGTTGTCCATCACAGGAGCGAGCTTGGGGTGATGGTTACTTTACAACACACACGGGGACCATGGGGAACAAAAGTAGCCACCTTCCAGAAGGAAGGACAGTGTCAGCACCAATTCAAAGATGATTTGAGGATCTACAGCTGAGTGACACAAATAAGATACGTTTTTGTTAATACCAGCTGGGGTACTTACAATTTACCTCCTGAGTTTAGTGTTTCTGGATTCTTGTTTTTCTCTTTTCTGTGCAGGGGCATATCTCGCATTGCCCTTACCCCTATTCTCTTGCAGGCTGTTGCTTTCAGTAATAAACTTAATTGCCTCTGCACAAAAAAGGGGCACTGCTGAAAGTATTCTGAGATAAGCATAGTAAAAGTGAGGATGCACTGTACTGCAAGGTTTAACTTAACTGTGTATGTAGTGAATGTTTTTTTTTTTTTTTTTCGGTAGGCCCTCGTAGTACACTGGTAAATTTTGTTGATCTTAAAAATTGAATCTGAAACAACGGTGTATTGTACACGTTGAGGATAACAATACTTTTGGTAGATCACTGTTGTAACCTTCTAATCTCTTTCACTAGGGAAATAAAAATGGCAAAGGAGTCATAAACTCCTTAATGTCTGGAGCTTTGGCTGGAGCTGTGGCCAAGACAGCAGTTGCTCCACTGGACAGAACCAAAATTATATTCCAAGGTAAGTTCACTTTTGTCAAGCAAGTTGTACAGCATTTTAACCCTTTTGCTGTCTAGGAATTTTTGCTTAAAGCCTCCCAAAATTATGAGGGTTGTTCACAAAAGGGTGCAGAGTTTGGAGAAGGTAGGAGTAGTGAACTATCTAGGACAGGGGTAAGCATCCTTGGCTCTCCAGCTGTGCTGAAACTACAAAGCCCATAAGGCATTGCAAACCACAGACATGACTCCGAGAGGCAGAAGCATGACGGGATTTGTAGTTTCAGCACAGCTGGAGAGCCAAGGTTGCCTACCCCTGATCTAGGACAACATAGCTGAATTGGAGAATGTTTCCGTCATGTTGTCCTAGATTGTTCACTTCTCCAAACTCTTCACCCTTTTGTGAATAATCCTTCGTATATTTTCTGAAAGCAGAGACCCTGCAGAGTTACATTGGTGACGGTTGCAATTTTTTATATCACATGACATTAGCAGAACTGTTATAGTATACTAAAAATAGTCTGCATGAGCCTTATTTGCACTGGTCTTTGTGCATGTTTTCACTTACACTTTAGGTACATTTGGTGATGCTGATTGTATAAGCAAACAAATATGTATTGTTGTTGCTTGCTAATAAGCAGTTATACCCAAATAAGAATCCCTCCTACGTCCCCATTTTGCTTATTTCTTGCTAACATTTTGCGTGCTTACTTTTTGGAATACTTTTATCTTTTAGAAACTGTTGCTTTAGGTTTTCATGTCAACCTTTCATAAAACCCAATTTATACTTATTTGGTGCCTTGATCTCTGCTAAAGGGGATCATCAAGGCTTAGCAGAGCTTTGGCCGTGTGACCATTTACCATGCGATCTCAGAGCAGCAGGTGGTGCAGTGAAGATTGAGTTAATAAGATGATAAATTCCCTGCATACTACGGGGCCTTCTATGTGACCTTCTTCAGTTTTTTTTTTAACTGTTCTAAGTGGTGTCCCCCCCCCCCCACCCCCCTTTCCCCCCAGCCCGGGGG